TGGAACGAAAAATAACCCTAGTTAACAAAGATGTTGGAATATAAAGGGGAAAAATGATCTTAATAATTCCTCTGTAACTGTTTATATAAAGAGACAGAGAGACAAATAATAAATATAAATATGATATAAATACAACTACCAAGATTTAATCATTTCTCATACTCACTACAGAGCAGAGCTGCGATTAGTTGCATGTCTTGAACACTGCATTTCTTGCCTTAACTGATTACCTCAAATTTATAAAGTTTGGTTTGGGTTTAATAACAAAGTCTTTATAATGTGTTTTTACTCTTTAATTAAAGTTATACATAAAATATCCATCACAATGTCCTTTTCTGCAGGTAGTACGTATGAAACAAGAATGCTGGATAGCAGGTGCCTAATCTGACACCATTGGAACGAAAAATAACCCTAGTTAACAAAGATGTTGGAATATAAAGGGGAAAAATGATCTTAATAATTCCTCTGTAACTGTTTATATAAAGAGACAGAGAGACAAATAATAAATATAAATATGATATAAATACAAAAATATAGATATTATAAAAGAGAGATATAAATATGAAAACAAACATAACTCATTCAGAAAGTGCTTTGTTTTGATTTGTTTCCATGGAGGAGTTTGTTCAGTCGTAATTTATCTTCCAGCCTGAAAATAATCAAAAATCCAATTTGTTGCTGCTAGAGGCATTATTATTTTATCTTAATTTGAAGAAAGCTGATTCTAATGTATTAAAACTTCTCTTTAAGCAAGAGAAAGCGGAGACTAGTACTATAATTAGAATTGTTTCCCTATGACTGCTTCATGACACTACTTTTCTGAAGAAAAAAAAAATCTGAATCCAAAGAAAATAATTAACTATAAGCCATTCATGCTCTCATTTTTGTGAGGATTAAAACTGTGGCTTTACAGTAACTTAGTAATATGGTATTCAATATTAGTCACAAGGCCATAATTCATTCGGTAAGGTATTTTTCAGCTACCTGGTTAACATAAAAATCCAAAACAACCTCTGATTTTACTTCAGAATCCATCAACCCTTTTGTATGTCATTTGCCTTTGAGGAGATAAGAAGCTTACAAAAGTAAAATTACAGTGCTTACTCGAAAAGCTGATCTCCGCTTGGCTGATTTGCCATGAGCCCCTCCTCACCCTCTGCAACCTGCAGCAATATTTTCAAAGATTCATTTTTCAGGGGGCCAATACTGCACTTTCTGTCAATTTCAAATTTTAGACCAATAAATCAAACCACTTATTTCTTGAAATATTGAAAAGAGAGAAGCTAAAAGAGAACACTTTGTTTCTTGTGTAAAGAAAGAATATTGGATTTGTATGATGGAGAGAGACAGAGAACCAAACTGGTGGTGATAGTGACAAACGAAACCCACCGGAGTTGGTGCACCGAGTTCTGTTGTTCCTCTGTGCAGCGCAGGAATAACAGCGGTCAGTCCCCAGCTTTGCAGCAGGACCCAGGGGGACTCCTGCTCAGTAGTTTAAAAATTGGTAGCTGCAGGAGCTACTCAGTGGAGTGGCCACCAGAGGCCTTCCGCTACCTGGCATGTCCCAGCCCTCCTCTAGGTGGCAGGCGTAGGGGCTTCAGTGGAACAATCTCATTTACCCTGCAGAAAATCTCTTGTCTGCAGCACCTTTTATCTCATCATGATCTGAACCTGGTAGTCAGAGAAATGCCATCTATGCAGGATTGAGCCTACTGGATCAACAATGCATGGACAATGCCATGCATACGATTAGTTCGATGCTGTGTGTGAGGTGCGATATAATTCAGCAGGGGCGAAAATGTCCGTTCTGTATATTGAACATATCCACCCACAGTACCTGTTCTTCTTAAATGGGCATATACAGCTCGTGCTCAGCTAAACCTCTATAAATACACAACACGTGCGATAGGATCAGCAGAGTTACTACAGATTTGCATCAACATAATTGACAAAGAAAAATTTGTCTCCAGGTGAGAGAGGAGAAAGTTGAAGAGAGTATACAAAACTCTGCAAGAGATCATTCTAGCTTTAATGTCTAAATAAAGTTGGCCTGTTCTCCATTTACAGATTGTGACAGATGCAGAAAGACTGGTGAATGCAAACATTAGGCATACTTTTGTATCTCTGCAGGCTTCATTTGTTCTTTTTTGTCTGTTTGGATTCCAATTATGTTGTTCCAGAGGTAGAGTCTCTGCTAGAAGCCTTGTAGCTGTGTTTGTAAGGATTGCACTTAGGTTAGTATGTTTGTCTGATGTTGTAGCAGGAGGCCAGTCATTCACTAACAGGTCTGACAGGTCCCAGGACAAAACCTACCTCTCGCCCTCCCAACCTGGATTCCTGGAGAGGCTAAAAAAGTCCCACAAAGTCCCGGAGCTGTGAAGGGATGGAGTTTGACTGAGTGCTGGGGGAAACTGTTATGCATCGCCGTACTGCTCTTTACTCATCCCTGAGCATCTGCTCTCTGGTGACTCTCACATTACACAAATCTCTAGTCTGACCCAGGGTGGTTGTTCTTATGTTCTCACAGTATGTGAGCAGCAATAGCATGCAACCCTCTGCACCTGACTCTATAGACGTGCCCTAAGACTATTCACATATTGGTATTTTCTGACATAATGCAATGGGACGGAGTACCAGCTCTTTCCGTTTTAACGTTTTGTTCTCTCTTTTAAATTGTTAACCATTCACAGACACACCGAAAGGTTGCTTGGGAAATAATAAAGTGCCACCATTCCCCCTGCTCACACTGCACAGGAAATCAGAATGCGTCAGCAGTGTCTCATGTTTGGAATGAAAATCTGTTTCCAGCCTGGGTGGGGCCAAGGTTTCATATTTATTTTTGGATGGTTCTGATGGCTCTTTTATCTGGACTGAACACTTATGAATATGCTTTGAAACACATTCATCATTTCTTCAGGAACAAGAGTAGTTGTTGAATCTAAAACCAAGTTCACGGCAGTCACTCTTTACCCTGCCTTCACCCTTTCCCTCATAATGGCTGAATCATTAAAGAAATGACTCAAGACATTTTTCTTCTCGAGACCAGAGTTGCGTCAAAACCATTTCTACTGACATGTGATCGCATGATTCTAGACACTGTGAGAGCTCTTTAGTCCCAGACTAGACACAATATTTCACTTATACATTTGAGCACAGAGTTTTCAATCTGTAACTTTTGATTTCAGATTTTTTTTAATACAGAAAAGAACCAGACAAAATCTATTTTATTCAAGCGGTAACTGAAGGAAGAAATAATATCTCCAGTTACATGTGTTCATAGCCGCAACTTCTCCATTTAAAAATACAGCAGTGTCAAAAAAGAAAAAAGTCTTAAACATCAACTACGTATTTAAGCCTCCTTTTGAGAGTGCTCCAGGCTCATCAATGCAGAATATTCAAAGTAATTTGAATATAATTGAAGCCTCTCTTCTTGCATTATGAAATTCTGAGTCTCTGGAGGTGAGTAGAAACTGTGTGCCACCTACTTTACTATTTTGCTTCAGAGTTTTGACTTATTGAGAAGTAAGCTTAATGCAAATAAAATGGCTTTCCCCTCCTGGCATTTGGCAGGCATACAGAAATGCAACAGAAGATCAGAGTACGTAGAGACACTTGCTTCTCAGAACTGTACGCTGAAAGAATAGAAAGCATTTAAATTCAAAACGAACCATCTGTGACAGCCCCTAAGCAGTGCCTCGTTTCAGAAAGTGCAAACCTGGGAATAAAAGTGAAACCGTATGTAGCCACCAATTAAAATAATCTAATATAGACTTTTCTGCCTTTTTTTGGTATAGATTTTCCGAGAACCCGCTCTTTTTCATTTCTTTAGCATATATTTTACAATTCAAAGGACAACTGTATAAAACTGTAGCCAACATCTGTTAGACACCTCATGGGGTAAAAGGTGACAGAAGGGGCATTATCATTGTGAATCACCTCTCTGCAGTTCATGCCCACAACTGATATAAGATAATATAACTTCAAGTTAAAATGAATTCTAAAACTATTTCCCAAACAAGAGTGATTTCATATTAGAAATAAGGTATTCACAACTCTCCATTTGGGATTTTGAAAATACTGTACCTTAGAAAGTCAGCATTCAGAAATGAAAACCAGAGTGTTTCTGTCAGTTTACTCGGATCAGAAGAAAAGAGAGCAATGGCAGCATATCCAAGGTAAGTAGAAACATATGGAAATTTCTGCTTGCCCAAGCACTATATACCCTATACATTGGCTGTCTATACCTTTGGATTTACAGGATTTAAATCAGATCAGAATTTGGCCCTCAGAGTATTCAACTTGCAGTTCTGGGAAAGGATCCAGAAGAATTCAGTCAATAACCATAAAGACTCTATCACTTTATAAGATATAAATCGTACACTGAAAAAATATGTAATGTTGGGCAGTACAATTACAGTTTTTTTTTTTTTGAATTTGGAGCTACACTGCAAGTTGTAGAGAATATGGAGTAAGAGAACATCATGTACATTTACTGAATTTGGAATATACCCCCAGGACATAAGGTTCGCATCCTGCCACGATACTTTTCATAGGTAGGGGAGCTACAGTTATTTGTGTGTGAAAACTAAGTGTGTTTCACTGGCCTTATTTTTATTGCTGCTATTTAAAAGGCTGTTTTTGCCAATTGAATGAGTATACAGTTATCTAAAAACCCATACACCTAAAAGGTATTTTAACCACTATTTCATCAACATTCAGGTATTAATCTACAATCACAGAAATCAAGATAGCAGTACACCAGCAGTTCAAGCTGTGCTTGCCTTGAATGTGCAAAAAGTCCCACCACAACCAAATAAAGTTTGGCCACAGGCAGGGACCGCAGGCTTCAAGTACTGCATACAGCAGTGGAGGAATCAGTGCGTTACCTCTGAGCGAATTAGGGTCTTACCATGAACAAATCTACCTCTGAGAGACACCCAAGGGCATAGCGGTGGCCATTCCTTTGACCCTGGCACCTCAGCTGTGACTCTTCCTTCTAGGTATTCTTTTCAAGATGAAGAGGACATGTTCATGGTGGTTGATCTCCTGCTTGGAGGAGATTTGCGTTACCACCTGCAGCAGAGCGTCCACTTTAACGAAGGCACTGTTAAGCTGTACATTTGTGAGCTGGCACTTTCCCTGGATTATTTACAGCGATACCACATCATTCACAGGTGAGTGAATTTTATTTGAGGCATGGACTGCTTGCTTTTGGCAGAGCAGAGGAATTTTATTTTGCATCTGATTGATTGATTACATAGTTTTCTTTATTCAAAACCTGTACACCCATTTAAAAACTTTTCATTGTTGCACAAACATATCCAAAGGTAAAATTTGGCTCTGAAAAGCTGTGGGTTTTTTAAAGTATTTGCTCTTCTGTCAGCCTTTCAGTAGCCCCATTTCTATGCATATCCTTCTCATACTATCTTTTATTTTCTCTTTATATCATACTGTCAAGTATGGTTTTTAAACACTAAATACAACAAGTAACAGCTTCCTGGCTGCTTTTAATTTATTTTTAATTCTCCAGTGTCCCAGCCTTCCTGAACATACAAATGGTATAATTCAGTACAACAACTTGATACCGCAATGTCAGGAAAAGGTCACAAAACCAAAGGCTAAGAATGAAGAATAATTTGTTAGCTTCCTGAACTTGCTTGAAGGTCAAAAGGAGGAGAAGAGGTGGGGAAATGAGAGAAATGGACAGAAATAAATTGGACCAGCAATAGGTGGCGTAGTCTTTGTGCGTTTCTTAGAGTACAACGATCTTCTATTTTTACTGCTTTTCAAGAATTTAAAGTAATCAGAGTATGCGTCCAAAAAAAAAAAAAAACTGAAGCATCAGGGTCTATCTGTTTTCCTTAAACAATTCTGTATTTAATTGAGGCAGGAGAGTGAATTGCCTTGTGATTTTAGCACAGTAACTGTGGAATAATAAAATGATGGGCTTGATTCTGCTCTATTTTATTATTTTTAGGCTGAATTTCTCCTTTTTAGGCTGTATTTCTCCTTGATTTACAGTGATCTGAATAGGCAAAGAACTAGCTTTGTGAGTCACTAAAGCTGGGTGTAAATTTCAGAGGCCAAAATGAACTAATCTGAGTCACAGATCTGTGAGTGACCAATGTAAATAAATTCCTTAATTTAATTTAATTGAGAGTTGTCATCCTATCTGCCTAGCAGAGCTGCCTCGTGATTTTGCAATAAAAAGCCAATAAAAAGTATGGTTTGATTCTCCGAAGAAGGAGGGGTTGGTAAGAAATCTGTCCAATCTGAGGTACAGAGGCAGGTGGTTGTCCTGTATTACTGAAACTGCACAGATAAAATTCAAGTAAACACTGTAACATTTGTTTTACTTGCAGTTAATCTCCCACAAATGTTGCAAGCATTTTTCTATCCTTGAAAATTGCCTTTTCTGCGATTTTCTATCCTCAGCATACTCTAATTATCTCAGTACAATTCAGTACAGTATTCTGGGTATGTTTTCCTTTCTCAGTGACTGTTTTAAAAGATGAGCTGAAAATTTCATCTGACCTTTGTTTCTATACCTTAAGGAACGTTCTTGGTGAAAAACAAAGCGATGAGAGTTTTTCTGATCCTCATTCGTAACGATGAGACGTGTTATGCAAACAAGCTGTCAAAACATTCATAAGAGAATCCAATTTCTAATCAAAACTTGCATTTTGTTACTTGTTGCTAAGCCTGCAACTTAAATTAGGTTCCATAGAAAAGTCTGTGAAAGGTGGAGAATGTCTTGTGAGAATGAAAGACAGGATCCAAGCATTTGTGGCTGCAATTTGTCATGACAGTGTCTGCGTTGTCATGGTCCAACTGGAAAACTGAGCAGAACCCAGATGGAAGGAAACTTCTGCTCTTTTCTGTGTTACTTGATCATGAATGCTAACAACTTGATTCTCTCTTTTGCGCTTGTTGTAGTATGAAGTAACACTGCTAAGTTCAGAAATTGTTGTTGATTTGCCCCAAGGTAAGTGTGAAAGTTGCAGGGTCCCAGGAGCAGCTAGACCCAGCAGAAGTTGCTGGCTCCATTTGGTGGCAAATTCTGGGGTTTGGTTTTCATTTGCATTCCACACTGAAAGCTTTCACAAAACCAAAAGGGTGTTAAAATACCTGTTTCTGAGCCTGTAGTGGTGTCACTTGCTGGTTAGTTAGGATTTTTGTTTAGGATGTAAAGGGTCTGGTTCAGGACTGCGCTGTGCTTTAGAAGAGCAGGGCAGACCTGAGATCTGAACATGGCTCTCCCTCCTCACAGCTTACCACCCAAACCACCCAGCTGTAGCATGAGGAGCCTTTTGTCTCTCACCTTCCCATCAATTAGCATAAAAGCCCAAATGATCCAAGCGCCAGTGAGCATGTTGTTTAGTCAGGAAAGTCCCAGTACGTTTCACCTTCTGCCTCATCTCAGCTGTGAACTGAAATGTAATTCTGCTGGGTGGATCTTCAAGTGCCGTAAATCACTGCAGCATAACTGACATTAAAAGTGCAATACTGGTTTAAATTGGCTAAGAAGCTAAGCCAGCAGTGTTGCACAGTGAAGAAACACATAGACATTGCTTTACTGTTGCAAATACACCATCCTTGTCAGAGACGACACCAATGAATTGGTTGCTATTTACACTTCATGGTAGCAGACCTCAGCAATACCTTTGTGCCAAGGTCCTGCCAGTCAGCGTTCACAAGTTCACCTACAAAACTGTATTAGAGCTTTCACTCTTAAATTAGTGCATTGGTAGGGGGAAAAAAAAAAAGGTTAGTGAATCACTGAGCCATTGAGAGACCCCCCCCACCCAATAAATTTTGTCTGTGCTACAAAGAAAGAATAGTTGAATGATTCATCAAACTGGGTGGGTGGATTTTCAAATTGCAGTATTATAAAGAGTTGAATATATGGTGTGTGAGTCAGAAACTTAACTCCTCCTCAGTATTTACAGATGTGTATGAACTGTGTACAGGTTTCTGTCACTATCACATCCAGTGACATGACAGACTTGTTTTTTCAAGATTAACCTGCTGCCCTAGGAATTTGTTATAAAAGGAATTGGCAGTGGTGGGACAAGGAATTGTCAGGCATGTATGAATGAATGTAGAAGTGTCTAGACCAGTGTTAAGCCAGCTGCTGTTGGATTTGCCATACTATCCATCAGCATTTGTGCTGCAAAAAATTTGCTGTTATAGCTAGCTTTGCATTTTTGAATGGGGCAGTCACTGCAGCAATAGATGCACTGTTTCTTCCCTGTTCTTCCCTTACAACTTTAACCGCATATAATGTAAGAAGGACTACTGTTCTAGTGTACTTATGAAAATCATCATTTTTCGTTAATCACATATATATAAATCCATATTTTTCATGCACAGTCCTACAATAGTGATCTTATTTATTAAGGCACAAGAACGAATGCTGCTCTTTGAATCTCACTTGTAGCTCTCCTGCAAATGTTTGCCTTTACATCAGTGTTCAGTTAGAACTATAAATACTGAAAAAAAAAAAGAAACTACCATTGTCAAGCTATGATCTGAAGACTACTCTGGGCAAATTTTTCACTTAACTTACACATTAGCTGTTTTGAGATATCTCTAAATAGTGCATTACGTCACAAGCCCCTATCTCCCCACAGTCCTACTATAATAATATTTCATCCTCATTTTTCAAAAGAATAAGTAATTCTTTAAAAGCTGCCTGACCAGTATTTCCTGTAGACTCTTGGATCCAGCATGCACAGAAAGGCTTCTGATAATTCACATGGTCTAATTCATTCCCAAATGTTGGATCAAATCTCACATTCTATATTAGCTGACATCAAATTTCAAGACTGTATGACTAAACATATTCTTCCCAGTTGTATAATGGTTGTATAATGCCAGTGAATAATGTATTTGATAAAAGTTTTCCCATCAAAGGCTGAATAAACTTATTTCAGACATGAGCAATTCAGCCTCCTCCTTTCACAAATGTTGCTGTTCATACATTTTAATAAAACCACCTGCTTCCTCACTAAAGTAGGCTGCACAATTTCATTCAGCTATTTCTTCTAGCCGTAGTGGAGACGTGGCATCTCCCAGGAGTCTTTTGCAGCTTGAGCCGCAACTTGGAGCAGCGCCGGGACTGTGGCCCTGAAGGCGCTTCCGAGCATCACGCTCTGTGCCAACAGAAACGCGTTTTCTCTTTCTAAGGGGGCAAGTGTTAACTGAATTGTCCTTACAACTTTTCATCATCGTTTGGCTTCATCAGAAGCCAGGCTTTGGTCAGAACAAGGCTGGATGTGGCAGGTGTCTGGAAAGGAAATCACAATAACAGCCCAGCATCATTTTAGTGTCCTGCTGTTTATCTGGATGCCCAGGGCTTTTTTTTTGTTTCGATATTTGTTTATTTGTTTAATACAAAACCATTTTATATATGTGCATACATATACATACATACATACATATAAAAATTTTGGTTGAAGCACAGTATATCTAGGATTTGTGGTTAGTGTAATCACCAATCTATTTTACATACCTGCAAGATCTGCTTTTTAATAACTATTCAGCAACAGTGCACAGTAAGTAGCAACTAATGGAAAATGGTGATGAACTGAGTATTATGTTTCGCTCTGCCAACTGATCCATTGCAGAATAAGGGTATCTTGCTGCTACTAGCTAGATGAAATGTACTCTTAGTTGAGCATTGCTACTCTGTGCTACGCTGAAGATTCCTGTTTGTTCCTAACCTTTGAGCCTTTCAAGGCGTCCAGCAGTTTGGTGAAATAAGATAACATGTCTAAATGATTAAATCCTCTCTCTCTCTTTAATGTGGGCCTTATAGTTTTACTCATGATTCCATGCATCAAAAGAACAAGCTCTTATTCAAAATATTCCCTCGTGAAATTGTCCATTTAGCATGTCAGCAGCAAATAACTTTGGGAATTATTTGAAAATACAGCCTCCTCCCTTTATTGATTTTCAGAGATGTCACAGGCAGGACAGTGCCATCCTGAAGTCTATCAGGACGTGTTAAAAGGACAGAGTTCCTTATGCATTTCAGCTCACACTCATTTTCTTGCTGGTATGCATGGGCAGATGAGGAGAAAATGTAGAAGAATCTTGAGTAGATGAAATGGCAAAAAGCAGCCAGAGTGCAACTACTATTGATATGTACTCCTAAAGATCATGACAGGTT